TGTATTTGTAGCCAATCTATATAATTCCATTCCTCAAATTCAGCAATCTTTTAAGAACTTGTTCATAGTTATTCTTCCACTACATATTCATTAAAATCACCTTCGCTTAGAACAGCAGATGAACAATGTCGCTGCAACCAAACCAATAGCTCCAACTGATCCAGCAGCAATCAATGGCCACTGATACTCTCCCTTTTGCTCACCAACAACGCCCTTTGTGTCTCTGACTCCGTTACTCGGCTTCATGGTTCTCTCACTCAACCCAACAACCGTCTTCTTACCTTCCTCGACCTTCTTCAGCAACTCTTCCTTCTTCAGCAACTCGTCCTTCTCTCTGTCTTCAGCCTCACTCAGAGCTTTCTCTTTAGGCTTCTTCTCAGACTTGCATTTCTCCAATTCCTCTCCATTCTTCACCAATTCCTGATTCAAGACACCGACTTTCTTCTCCAATTCCTTAATCTCCCTCTCTTTCTCATCCATTTTCTCCCTCATATCCTCTTCTAGCCTAAGCTTCTTGCTCTTCTCCTCCATTTCCTTCACTTCAAAAACACCAATTTTCCTTTCCAAATCCCTAACCCTCTTCTCAACCTCAGCTCTATCTTTCCTTAAACCCTCAGCTTCCTTCTCATAACCCTCAAGCTTCTCCCCTTTCTCCGCCACCACTTTCTTCAGCTCCGCCACTTCCTCCGCAGTCTTATCCACACCGGTCAATGAATTGATCAGATCGTCTTGAAGATTCGACGCTTCAGTTTCAAGCTCCACAGCTCTCGTAGAGATAGATTCAAGAGCCTTCTTCTCTTCCTCGTACTCCTCGATCTCTTTCTCCATTTCTTCGAATCTCTGATTCATCTCTGCTTCTATGCTTCTCATCTCTTCGATTTCTCCCAATAGCTTCTCTAACTTCTCTTTCATTGCGAGATTCTCCCTCGTAAGCTCCTGATTCTTGTTCTCCATTGCTTCAATCTTTCTTTCCAGTTCCTGATCGGAGTCAGAGATCTCCTTCGCCGCCTCACGATCCTCGGAATCCGCCATTTACACTGATACTTATAGAAAATTCAACAAAGAATCAATACGAAGAACTCAAACGGAAACTTTCACAAACGAAAAAATCAATTAGAGAGAATCAGTCACTCTTGACTATTTCTCAGCAACTACATAATCATCGCGATGATGACATTTCCCTTATCGGAAAGGATAAAGTAAAACCCTAAAACCACGAAGAAAGGTAAGATAAGAGGAGGATTTTCTTGAGTTTACCTTTCGATTTTCCTGGGAAAGTAAGAAAACGACGAGATTTTCCGGGAGGGGAATCGGATAGTTAAAGATTCGGTTTTTAGGGTTTATGCTTTAATCGTGACAACAAATGGTATTGAGAAATTGGGCTGGTTCAGTAATTAATGGATCTCTCGTTATATGGGCCTTTAGGCTATAAGTGGTTATCTCCATGAGACCCAATTTTACTATAATCGCTTACAAATTTATTATGAGAAATTAAAAAAAATGCCACTTTTCATCCCACTTTACAAAAATACCACACTTTTGAAATCTTTACAAAAATGCCACTTTTTCAAAATTATTTTTTCTTTATATTATTTATGTTTGGGTTAATTATGTTCTATTAGAGTTTAGTTTTGAGTATTTAGGAGGTTTTAGGTGTCAAAACACTT